TTAATCCTAGCATTCCAGAGATAGAAATCCCTCTGGATCTCTGTGAGTTCAAGGCCACATTGGAAATAGCCAAGCATGGTGACACGCCTTTAATCCCAGAAAGCAAGCCTTTAATCCCAGGGAGTGGTGGTAGAAAACAGAAAGATATATAAGGCGTGAGGGCCAGAAACTAGAAGAATTTGGCTGGTTAAGCATTTGGCTGGTTAAGATTTTGGCTGGTTAAGCTTCAGGCTTTCGAGCAGCAATTCAGCTGAGAGCCATTGGGATGAGGACGCAGAAGCTTCCAGTCTGGGGAAACAAGACCAGCTGAGGATATGGCGAGGTGAGATAGCTGTGGCTTATTCTGTCTCTCTGATCTACCAGCATTGACCCCAATAACTGGCCTCGGGTTTGATTTTATCAATAAGAACTTTTAAGATTCCTGCTACATTGCTCTAAAATAAAATATATTTTTACATTAAAAAAAACTTGAGAGCCCCTTTCCACGAGCTCTGACGTCGCCGACGTCCCATTTAAAAGCGGCCGCGCAGGCGCAGTGAGGGGAAATGCGAACTTAGGCTGTTACACAACTGCTGGGGGTCTGTTCTCGTCGCCCGCCCGCCTGCCCGACCGTCTGCCCGACCGTCCGCCCGACCGACCGGCAGTCTGTCAGTCAGCGTCGCCGCCGCTGCCGCCGGAGTCTCGGCCGTGGCTGCTGTCGCCGTCTGCTCGTGCCTCTCGGGAACTCCGTCCGCCTGCTCAGGCCGCCCCGACCGTCCGCGTCTCTCCCCCGCGCTGCCTCTGAGCCTTCAGCGTTCGCCCGCCGGCCGACATGAGCGGGGACCATCTCCACAACGACTCCCAGATCGAAGCGGATTTCCGACTGAAAGATTCTCACAAACACAAAGATAAACATAAAGATCGAGAACACCGGCATAAAGAGCACAAGAAGGATAAGGAAAAGGACCGGGAAAAGTCTAAGCATAGCAACAGTGAACATAAAGATTCTGAAAAGAAACATAAAGAGAAGGAGAAAACCAAACACAAAGATGGAAGCTCAGAAAAACATAAAGACAAACATAAAGACAGAGACAAGGAAAAACGAAAGGAGGAAAAGATTAGAGCAGCTGGGGATGCAAAAATAAAGAAGGAGAAGGAAAATGGCTTCTCTAGTCCACCACGAATTAAAGATGAACCTGAAGATGATGGCTATTTTGTTCCTCCAAAAGAGGACATAAAGCCACTGAAGAGACCTCGAGATGAGGATGATGCTGATTATAAACCTAAGAAAATTAAGACAGAAGATATCAAGAAGGAGAAGAAAAGAAAACTAGAAGAAGAAGAGGATGGCAAATTGAAAAAACCCAAGAATAAAGATAAAGATAAAAAAGTTGCTGAGTCAGATAAGAAAAAGAAGCCGAAAAAGGAAGAGGAACAGAAGTGGAAATGGTGGGAAGAAGAACGCTATCCTGAAGGCATCAAGTGGAAATTCCTAGAACACAAAGGGCCTGTCTTTGCTCCACCATATGAGCCTCTTCCAGAGGGTGTCAAGTTTTACTATGATGGTAAGGTTATGAAGTTGAGTCCCAAAGCAGAAGAAGTAGCTACATTCTTTGCAAAAATGCTTGACCATGAATATACTACTAAGGAAATATTCAGGAAAAATTTCTTTAAAGATTGGAGAAAGGAGATGACTAATGACGAGAAAAATATGATTACCAACTTAAGCAAATGCGACTTCACACAGATGAGCCAGTATTTCAAAGCCCAGTCAGAGGCTCGGAAGCAGATGAGCAAGGAAGAAAAACTGAAAATCAAAGAAGAAAATGAAAAATTATTGAAAGAATATGGCTTTTGTGTTATGGATAATCATAGAGAGAGGATTGCCAACTTCAAGATAGAGCCTCCAGGGCTTTTCCGTGGCCGAGGTAACCACCCCAAGATGGGCATGCTGAAGAGAAGAATCATGCCTGAGGACATAATCATCAACTGCAGCAAAGATGCCAAGGTTCCTTCTCCTCCTCCAGGACATAAATGGAAAGAAGTCCGACATGATAACAAGGTTACTTGGCTAGTCTCCTGGACAGAGAACATCCAAGGTTCTATTAAATACATCATGCTGAATCCCAGTTCACGAATCAAGGGTGAGAAAGACTGGCAGAAATACGAGACTGCTCGGCGGCTGAAGAAGTGTGTGGACAAGATCCGAAATCAGTATCGGGAAGACTGGAAGTCCAAAGAGATGAAAGTTCGACAGAGAGCTGTAGCACTGTACTTCATTGATAAGCTTGCTCTGAGAGCAGGCAATGAGAAGGAGGAAGGAGAAACGGCAGACACTGTGGGTTGCTGTTCACTTAGAGTGGAACACATCAATCTACACCCAGAATTGGATGGTCAGGAATATGTGGTGGAATTTGACTTTCCTGGGAAGGACTCAATCAGATACTATAACAAAGTCCCAGTTGAGAAACGAGTTTTTAAGAACTTACAACTATTTATGGAGAACAAGCAGCCCGAGGATGATCTTTTTGATCGACTTAATACTGGTATTCTAAATAAGCATCTTCAGGATCTCATGGAAGGCTTGACCGCCAAGGTGTTCCGTACATACAATGCCTCCATCACGCTACAGCAGCAGCTTAAAGAGCTCACAGCCCCTGATGAGAATGTACCAGCAAAGATTCTATCTTATAATCGTGCCAATCGAGCTGTTGCAATTCTTTGTAACCACCAGAGGGCGCCACCAAAGACCTTTGAGAAGTCAATGATGAACTTGCAGTCTAAGATTGATGCCAAGAAAGACCAGTTAGCAGATGCTCGAAGGGACCTGAAAAGTGCTAAGGCTGATGCCAAAGTCATGAAGGATGCAAAGACCAAGAAGGTAGTAGAGTCAAAAAAGAAGGCTGTACAGAGACTAGAAGAGCAGCTGATGAAGCTGGAAGTTCAAGCCACAGATCGAGAAGAGAATAAACAAATTGCCTTGGGAACCTCCAAACTCAATTATCTGGACCCTAGGATCACAGTGGCTTGGTGCAAGAAGTGGGGGGTCCCAATTGAGAAGATTTACAACAAAACCCAGAGGGAGAAGTTTGCTTGGGCCATTGATATGACCGATGAGGACTACGAGTTTTGACCAGTCTTGCCAGGGGTTCTGTGAAAAGGGACAGTGTGGTTTGAGGAAGATGGATAAACTGAGCCTCACTTGCCCTCATGCCTGAGGGAGAGGCCACAAGTCTTAACAAACCAACATCTTTGCAAAAAGATAGACCTGGAGATGTTATAAGGGAGAGCTGAGCCAGTTGTCCTATGGACAACTTATTTAAAAATATTTCAGATATCAAAATTCTAGCTGTTTGATTTGTTTTGAATTTTGTTTTTGTTTTCGAGAGCAAGTGGATGGGAATTTGTCAGCATCCTGCCAGGCAAATTCAGTTTTGCTGCAATGTTTGGATTCTCTCAGCTACTGTATGCGAAGTCTGATTATATTGGTGCGTTTTTACAGTTAGGGTTTTGCAATAACTTCTATATTTTAATAGAAACGATTCCTAAATTCCCTCCTCTCCCCATTTCAGGAATTTAAAGTTAAGTAGAACAAAACAAAAACCCAGCGCACCTATTAGAGTTGTCACTCTATCGTCATGGGAATCAGTTTTCATTAAACTTGAAGCAGTTGTGAAAAAAAAAAAACTTGAGTGACAGGCTTTATGATCCTGAGAAAGCTGGACCATATACTGGTTTTTAATAGATAATACATACGCCTATAGACACTGATCTAAGTTTTTTCTACCCTCTTAGGGAAGATTAGGAATCAGATGTTTTTCAGATTTCATTGTGAAATTGTGTAGATACTTTCCTAAGCACATCTGTGAGTCGTGTAACCCCATTCAACATCTTCTGTATAGTGCCCACTCGGTGCATAATATTTTACAGATCCTAGCACTGTGAGGTATACAGAGATGAATGTGGTGTATGTCCTCATCTTATAAAAAGTGAGCTGTTCAAGTCCTGACTGAAATAGTCTGTGAGGCTGCATTGTCTAAGCCAGTTGCCTTGAAACTATTCTGGATGTTGGATCACCTGGGCCATGGTGTCATTGGAGACCTTTCAGGGGGTCTTGGCTGGTCAAATCTGATCCATCTTAACCTGGAAAATATCCATAGCCTCTTGCTTTCTGTTGAAACAAAAGCAGAGCTTTCTTTCCAAAGCAACATATCCTTAGATCTAAATTTTGAAGTCGAGATACCTCTAATATATATAGGCCTAATTTAGTAGCCATGATAATCAAATGTCTTTCTGCAGTTAAAAATATCAAAGACAACACAATCCAGATTCTCTGTGTAATATCTGTCTTTATGTGGCTTATTTTTTATACTACCTTTACTGTCTCTTTAAAGACTTTATTTTTTAAAACTATTTCTTTATATAACTGTCTATATTTATTTTTTCTCTCTTCTAAGCCTATATGTTTTTACACACACTGTAAACCATTTAAAGTCTTGTTCCATCTGAATCTGTCTTATTGTGAATCTGTTGTTTTCAACTGCAGTGGCTAGTATTGCAGCAGAAGCCTTGGCTGCTGGCTCCGCCCAATTTAGCTTTTTAACATGGTGGAAATAATTCAGCACTAGCTCTGGGAGCCATACTGTCCACTGACTCTGGGAGGCCATGGGTCTATGCTTCTATCAAAGCAGCATGTAGCCCAGAAACCTTTTTTTTTTTTTTTTTTTTTTTAGTAGCAGAAGCTATATCCACCATGCACCATGTTGCGTGGCTTGCAGAAACCTCTGTGTAACTGGACAGGAATGCGCCATGGTGTAGCTCCAGCCCACATGCCGCGCACCCTCCATAGAGTAGCTCAAGCCCGCATGTTGCAGGTTCTCCCCACCCACATGAGACACGAACCTGTTTTTGGCTCTGTTTAGAATTGCTTATTAAGTATTCTCAGGTGTTAGGTGGAAACTCGAGCTGTTGGGCGCCATTTGTAGTTGAAGTTTTCTCCCGTCCTGCCAGGGCCCACAGATCCTGCAGCCACTTATAAAATAATCACTCAGAAGCTTACATTAATTATAACTACATGGCCATGGCTCGAGCTTTTGCTAGCTAGCTCTTGTATCTTAAATTAGCCCATGACTAATAATCTATGTATAGCCTCATGTTTCGTGGCTTTACCTGCATCCTATTACATGTTGCTCCTTGGGCAGCTCACTGGTGTCTCTCCCTGCCTTTTTCCTGGCTCTCTCTTTGAATTTCCTGCCTGCCTCTAGGCTGCCTTGCCATAGGCTTTATTTATCTACCAATCAGAGGAACACATATTCGTGGCATACAGAAAGATATACCCCCATCAAGGATTCAGGTTTGGGTTATTCTAGTGATGGGTTATTGTGTATAGTTTGGGTAAGAGTAAGGGTTAGAGTTAGGGCTAGTGTTTGCATTAGAATTACAGGGTTAGGGATAGTGGTTAGTGTTAGGAGATGGTTTAGAATTTGGAGTTTTGGTTTAGAGTTAAAGGCTTAGTGTTAGGGTTTTGTTTTTTAATTAATGTGTAGGGTTAGGATGTAGAAGTATGGTTGTTAGTATCTAGGTTTTTAGAGAAGAGTTAAGAATGAGCAATAATGGTTAGGGATTATTATGCCCAGATCATGGGGACCCCCAAAAGACCATTATGGAGACCAAGTCCCATATGTAAAAGAAAGAGCTTTTATTTCAAGGACTGGGGCTTGGTCCCTCTGTCTGTCCAATGCAACGGTGAGAGCAGAGAGCCCCGAGCTCAGGTGGGGTGGGGTTTTTATCTTAGCAGAGGTTGGGGTGAGGGGATTTCCAAGGTTCAGGACCTTGATTGGCTGACAATTGTCTAGGGGTATCTTGATAAGAATGGGTAATAGGTGTGTACTAGACTCAAGGACATCAGGCCACCTTATCTAATGGTTGGAATGTTTGCGATGTTAGGTACTTCCCCATCCCTGTGTGGATCCCTGAGTGGTGCCAGCTTATGGCTTTTCCTGGATCTGGGTGTTGCCTGCCAGTAAGCCTATCACAGAAGCTGAGTCTAGGCCCCTAAACCTGTCATAGCAGCTGTGTGGTCAAGCTGTTTTGGGGCCCCTCCACAGGGATCAGGGTTAGAATATATATATATTTCTGTTTACTCCCCTCCCCTACCCTCTCTTATCCCCCCACTTCCAGATCCTGTTCTTCCTTACAAGTCTCTCTCCCTTATTCACTAAGTGTTGCTTGGTGTCCCTTTGAGTTTAGAGCTATCTTTGCGACCTTGAGTTTGGAACTGACCATGAGATCCTTCTGGGCTCACCAGTGGGTATGTTAACAAACTTGGGGGTGATAGCCTGTGCTCCAAACAAGGTTTAGTCACCCCCTTCCCAATCAGCTAATTAAAATAGTGACAAACAGGAAAAGATTTATCAGTATTGTCTCATTGGGAAGAGGGCTCCAGCAACCCATGGACTGGTAGAATTAAGATTGTGAAAATGACCATTTTACCAAAAGCTTTTTACAAATTCAATGAAATCCCTATCAAAGTTCCTATCTTGTTCTTCACAGAAAAAGAAAGAGTATTCCAAAATTCAGATGTAACCACAAAAGATCCTAGGGTAGCTAAAACAACCCTGAGTAAAAATAACGGTACTAGAGGGACTGCCATTTCAGATCTTATATTACAGAACCATAGTAATAAAAACAATAGGGTACTGGTACAAAAACAGACATAGAGATCAATAGAACAAAATCAAAGACCAAAACTTGAGTACATATAACCTTTTTTTTTTTCAAGTTTTGGAGCCTGTCCTGGATCTTCCTCTGTAGACTGGGCTGGTCTTGAAATCACAGAGATTTGCCTGCCTCTGCCTCCCGAGTGCTGGGATGAAAGGTGTGTGTGCCACCACTGCCTCGTGGGTACATGTAACTTTAGCCATTTAATATTTGACAAAGGTGCCAAAAACGTATGTGGGAAGAAAAGCATCTTCAACTAATGATGAGGGGAAATTGGATGTTCACATCCAGAGGAATGAAATTCACCTGTACCCATCACTTTGCACAAAAACTAAGTGTAAAACCTGAAACACTTAAAAACTGCTAGAAGAAAACATGGGCAGTGCTCTACATGCTGTAAGTGTAGGAAAGAACTTCCTGAACAGGACTCTGGTTTGCCCAAGAATTAAGGCCAACAATTGACAAGTGAGACTTCATAAAACCAAAAACCTTCTGTATAGCCCCCCCCCCCCAAAAGTCAATCAGGTGAAGAAGAAGCCCACAGAACGGAGAGGATCTTTTCCAGCTATATACTTTTTTTAAAATGATTTATTTTTATTTTTATTTTATGTGTTTTGGTGTTTTTCCTTTGTGTGAGGGTGTCAAATCACTTGGAGCTGATTTACAGGCAGTTGAGAGCTACCATGTGGTTGCTGGGAACTGAACCCAAGACTTCTGGAAGAGCAGCTAGTGCTCTTCACCACGGAGCCATCTCTCCAGCCTGCCAGCTATATACTTGACAGAGGATTAGTATTTAGACTATATAAAGAACTCATAAAATGAAGACAAAAAACTAATTGACCTATTTAAAAAATGGGCCCAGGAACTGAACATAATGTTTTCAAAAGAAGAAAAATATAGCTAAAAACAACAAACAAAACAAAACAAAATAACCACTCCCCCCAAAACAAAAACAATAACAACCCCCCCCCACCACCACCACTATTCCTCATCCCTAGCAATTAGGGAAATGCAAATCCAAACAACTTTGAGATTTTACCTTACCCCAGCCAGAATGGCAAAAAGATCAACAAAATAACCAATAGAAATGCTGAAGGGGATTTGTGAAAAAGGGAACCCTCATTCACTGTTGGTGTGATTGAAAACTGATACAGCTTACAGTGGAAATCAGTGTGGAGAATTCTCAAAAAGCTGAAAATAAATCTACCATATTACCCAGCTATACCCCTCTTGGCATGTGCCCCAAGGACTTGACGTCCTATGCCCCACATATTTGTTCATTCATGCTCATTGCCGCTCTAGGAGATGGGGACAACCTAATGTCCTTTAACTGATTAGTGGATAATGAAAATGTGGTACATATACACTACAGAATTCTATTCAGATGTAAGAAAGATGAAATCATGAACTTTTCAGGTAAATGGATGAAACTAGAAAGTATCATATTGAGTGAGATACCTCAGACCCAGAAAGACAAATGTATATTCTCTCTCATCTGAGTCTACTATCTCCACTATCTCCAAATCCTTGGATATGAGCACCTAACCTGGAGTAAGTGCAGAAACCAGGAAAGTAAAAAGAAATTATTCTGTGATGAGGGTATGGGGGAACAATAGAGGGGGAACAGCAGGGTATAAGTGATCTGATAAGGGAGATGGGATAATGGGGGAGGGCTCTAATTAGGATACAGGGAGGGAGATTAATGCAAAAGAAGGGAAGAGCAAAATAACAGTGAGGATATCTAAAAGACTCATAAGGAATCACACTATTAACTATTTACCTAAAACACTTACAATAATACACATAATTTAGTATGTGAACATACATACCTATTTTAAAAGAAGTTTTCCTACCTGGCTGACAATGCCACCCACAAGAGTCATGGACCATCTAACAAAAACCCAATGCGAGACATGAGAAGCTCCTTTTTGAGTTATTCTTCAGGGTTGTCCAA